AAATTAGCATTAAAGGTTGAGAAACAACGATTATGGAAAAGCTTAATAAGTTCATCTAGACGACTAGAATTTACCTCAAACCATGAAAGTCAAAGTTTAGCAACTATTCTGCCTTCAAAGGTAAACTCTTCCAAAACACCAAACAATAAAGAGACTTACTTTTACTTAGTGGCTTCTCTAATATCAACAAAAGTGGCTTAAAATGCCCAAGGATTTGGGCATATTGCTTCTGATTGTCCAAATCGAAGAATTATCTCCTTAGTTGAAGAAGTTATGAAAGAACCTAGCCTAGAAGAAGTAGATGATGAGCTAGAAATATTCAACAATGAAGAGATAGAAGAAGTTTTTGCTGATCATGGAGAAGCTCTTATTGTTTGTCGTAACCTTAACACTGTTATGATGACAGAAGATGAAAGTTGGCTTTGTCATAACATATTCTATACAAGGTGCACATCTCAAGGGAAGGTTTGTAATATCATTATTGATAGTGGAAGTTGTGAGAATGTTGTTGCCAACTACATGGTGGAGAAGTTGAAACTTCCAACTGAAGTATATCCTCATCCTTACAAGTTACAATGGTTGAGAAAAGGAAACGAAGTTAAGGTAACCAAGTGCTGTTGTGTTCAATTCTCTATTGAAAATAAGTATGAAAATGAAGTCAGGTGTGATGTTATCCTAATGGATGCATACCACTTGTTGTTAGGACACCCATGGCAATATGATCGTCGAGCTCACCATGATGGATACAAGAATACTTATTCCTTCATCAAATATGGAGTAAAAATTATGTTGACTCCATTAAAGCCAGAAAACCGATCAAAGAGACCAAAGGAAGATAAAGCACTCATCACTATGGTTGGCTTAAACAAAGCTTATCTTGAGTCAAACCATTTACGTCTCTTATTAGTCTCTAAGGAGAATGAAGTATCTTCACCCTTATCCAAGCATGGTCAAACAAAATTGGTCAACAAAAGTTTTGAAAACTTATTGAGAAGCTTTGTAAACAACCATGCCATTAACAAGACAACAGTTAAGTATGATTTTCCTATCTCTCGATTGGATGACATGCTCATTGGTTCTAAGGTGTTTTTGAAGATCGATTTGAAGAAAAGATATCATCAAATTAAAATGCCACTTGGAGATGAGTGGGAGACAGCCTTCAAAACACTAGATGAGCTATTTAAATGGTTGATATGGATTATGATAGTATGTGGATCAAAACGTGGAGTATGTCAAGGCTTACTAGTCAAAGCCGAGTTTTTCTAACCCGAGGAGAATGATGCAGGAGTGTTTGGGATTGTATTTCATTAAATTTAGTTTTTTCTAATTTTAGTTGATTTAGGATATATTTTCTTTATTCTATTTAGATTAGGATTCTTTTCTTACTTTTATTAGGAATTTAAGTTAGTCATGTTCTATTTAGGAATAGAACACCTATTTTATTGAAATCTCTTGTTAATTATTCTAATTGTATTAGATAATTAGAAGTAGAGTTTTATTAGCATGTGGGCCTATAATACTATAAATAGGACCTTTAAGATTAGTTATGAGACATCGAAGTTGAGAGTTAATAAATAATATTTTCTTAAGTAAGAGTGCTTATTTCTCTAGGCTCTTTTAAAAAGTAAGAGGGTTTCGTATATTTGGCCTAGTTAACCAAAGTGGGATTTTGGCTATTCTTCACCTTAGTGGGGTTTTCTAACCTTGCCAAAATTGGTGATTCACCTTATTGGGGTTTTCAACCTCGTCACGATTAGTGTCCTTCACAACGCCCAAGTGTCTTTACAATGCCCCGGCGTTAGATGTCTTTTGTCTTCCTGCTTTTTGCTTTTCGACATTATACAGGAGAGTTTTGCTTTGTTCCTTTGTGTTGATCTTTTTGTCTTGTGAATGTGATCAGTCATGTATAGAGTCTCCTTTTTTATTTTGTTTGCCCGGGTTTTCTCTGATTGGAAGGAAAAGGTTGAGCCAACCTTTCCCATGTTGGGAGTTGCATATCTTTTGTTTTTTTGGGAGATATCAGAGGTTTTTGGGTAGTGCAGTTTCCTTTTTTTGTTTTGTTGCAGGTTTTTTTAGGTTGACAAGGAGTTTCCCCATCCTATTTATGATTATCTACTATGTATGACCTTTTGAATATAATCTAATTCAGCTTTTAAAAAGGAAAACAAAGATGGTAAACATTAAGAATAATTAGAATATTCACACACTTTGTGATGCTAACTCTTTAGTTGATCGTTGGCTAAGCACACGGTTGATAGAAATGAATCCTTCTTTGCATGGTGGTGTGCGGATTGATAAGTAGGTGATTTAACTATGATGTGCTTTATGTTTTCTTGTTTCTGAATGATGATTGTGCTTTGTGTTCCCATTTGTTGTGATGATTTTTTGCAGATGTTCCATGCACTTAATGCTATGCTGATGTTGTCTTTGTTCCCCTTTAACTTTTCTGATGTTGTGGTGGGTTATTAATGGTGATGCAGTTAGTGGAATGATATTCTGATTATTGTATTGTTTCTCTAAGAAAACCTAAGTTGCTTTAAGGTGAGGGCATACATTAGTTATTCTTAGTTTTATTATCTTTAAAATGATTAGAGTTTTCGACTTTCAAAAAAAAATATGATTAGAGTTATCAAATGAGAAAAATGATTAGATTTTGCCATAGTGTTTTCATGTGGAAATTACTTGAATAATCTTTGAAGTTGTTTGTGAAAAGAAAAATCTTTTGAACACTTTAAATCTCAAGTTCAAGCCATTAGAATCGACTTCTTGAAAAAGAAACATCAATTCTTGAGATACAAAAGCCACTGGAAGAGTAAGAATTGACTTCTCGAGCATCAGGTGATCGATTCATGAAGTTGCAAAAAGAGAAAATCAAAAACTTGAAAAGAGATTGGAGAATGGATAAGGATGGAGTGGGCCAAAGTAAATTTGAATTTTGAATTAGATGCCCAACGTAAAAGAAGAATCCCACTTTTCGAGGGGCAAAGATCAATTCTTTGAAAATCTAAACAAGAAGAATCGAGGTCTCAAGAATGCACTAATCGATTCTCAAAAAACAGAATGCTCTAAAGGCAAGAAGAATCGACTACTCAGAAAAGCACTGATTGATTTTAAGAAAACAAAATGCTCTAGAAACAACAATTGATACCTCATATATCTACCGATTGATTCTCAAACTACAAAAGGTAGTCGTTAGACACGAAAAGATAAGAAAAATGACTAGTCCTCCACTAAATCATTCTTAGTAGCTCTAAACTTTTTCCAAGTATAAAAATGACTTCTCCAACACATTTTAGAAGCGAGTAGAGTAGATAAAAAGATCATTTGATCAAGAATCACGCAATATGAAGACAAAAAAGAAAAAAGAATAGAAATCAAGCTAGAGCAAGCAAAAACTCATTTTTCCCCTTTGCGTCTAAGCTTTCTTTGAGCTCCAAATTTCTTGTGTTATCACCTTATTCATTTTATTCATTATATTTTTATCTTCGTTGTACTTACTTAGCAAAATCTACCTTATAGAAATACCTATGCTAGTTAAAATTTGTAAGAGCGAAAAAGGTTAGACCTTAGTCTTCAAAAAGTAGTATTTAGAGGTTATACTTGATCTTTGAAAGGCAGAGAAGTTATATGTTAGCCTTTCAAAGGTAGTGTTTAAAAGTTGTGCTTGAACCTTGAAAAAGGAATGGTTATGCTTTGTTAGAAATGTTAGCGCTATAAATATAAGGAAATGTCCAAGGATGGGGTGAATTAGCTTTGTAAAAATTCTTTTTAACAATTTAAACTTTTAGTCAAGGCAACCAAAAAAAAAATTTGTCAAATTAATTTTTCACCTTAAAGCATACCAAAGGAAATTTAATAAGCAACTTAAAGAATACACAAATTGAAAACGAGTTTTTCTAATTTTTCAAATTAAAGTGCACAAGTGAAAATGGTGGAAAAACAAACTTCTCAAATATGTTAACAATGAATTGATGTACAGTTCAAAAGGTGAGTGAGTTATAAACAATTTTCTAAAACTTCTTCAAGATAAAATGCATGAAATTTAAGAAGTGAAATGTTGAAACACAAGACACAAGAAATTTATAAAGTTTGGCGCTCTTTATAGGTATTTATGTCCTCTCCCTTCACAAGCTAAGGAATTTAAATTCACTATGAAAAATACTTTTTCAAGACTCAAACATAATCTTTACAATACCTTTTCAAAGGATCAAGTACAACCTTCATAATGCCCTTTCAAAAAATTAAGCATAACTTTCACAATGCCTTTTCAAGGGTCAAGCACAATCCTCACAATGCCTTTTCAAATAATCAAGCACAACATTCAACATTATCTTTTGAAGGCTAAGGTATAACCTTTTTCTCTCTTACAAGATTTGTTAGGAAGATAAGCTTAAAGTAAAGTAACTAAGAGCGAGGGTGAATTGGTTATGAATTAAAATATTGCCCTTTTTTAATAGAACTTGAAATTGTAGTAGAAATATGGAAAAATAAAATAATAGAAACAAAGTATGAACTAAGTAAGCAAAGTGTAAAAAGATAAAAAGCACTCAACCAGATTTTTATAAAGATTCAGCCTTCCAATGCCTACGTCCTTTCTCTTGATAGCACAAGAAGTTCAAATCCACTATCAACTTTGCCTTTTCAATAGGAGTAGGCATAAATTTTACAACATGTCTTTTAACAAGGTCAAGCGTAACCTTCATAACGTGCCTTTTCATAGCATTAGGTGTAATCTCAATCGAAATATTGCCTTTTTCAAGTTCAACCACAATCTTTATACAAGATACAACCTTTGAAAGGATCAAGTAAAGCCCTTTTACCTTTTGCTTGGAGATATAACTAGTATAATAGTGGATTCTTAAAAAGAATTAGTTAAAATCTCTATGAAGGCTGATAGGATGTTTACATTTAAAAAGATGAGAGATTTCTTAGGATAGATGAATAATCAAAGGAGGCTTAAGCTCAAGGAATATCGACTTAAGGATAACATTGTGATTTTTTTTTGGTTTTACTCTTACTTAAAGGTAGGATTTTTCTGTTCTTGCTCTCCTGCTTATTTTTCCTCTTTTTGGCACTTCAAAATCTTTCAAAATTGTTCAAGATTTCTCAAAAATCAAACCTTTAATGTCCTCAAAGTGGTTATTAATATGCCTTACGATTTCTTGCATGTTGGAGTGAAATTTGAATAAGTTTTTGCATGTTCCAACCAACTTGCACATTTTTGTCGCACGTTGAGAATTGATTCTTTGATTATGAGTTATCAATCTTTCATAAAGTTTGGAACTTTCTATCTTTGAAGAATCAATTCTTGTTTTTTGAGATTTTGGTTCTGTATAAAGTTTGAAACTTTCTGTTTCTAAAGAATTGATTATTCATACCATTTACACCATCTTTTTCTTGGTCACTAAGTTTCTAATTCTAACTTTTGGTGCGTCAAGAATCGATATATTCTTCATGTGGAATTGACTCTTTGTCTCCAGACTTGTGGTCTTTGGTTCATTCCTTACTCAGAATAGATTTTTGTTATTTAGGGAATCGATTCTTTCTTTTTTGCATTTTTTACTTATGCATTTTGTTCTCTTAAAATTGATTCTTGCTCTTTAATGTGTTGATTCTTCCTCAATTCTAGTAGCTTTTATTTTTCCAAGAACTGACTTCTTCTCTCAAAATCGATTTTCACTATTTTTGTATGCGAAGAACTAATTTCTCCCATCTTTAAAATTGATTTTTCTGATGATAAAGAAATAAATTTTGCTTTCGTCTTATTTAAAAATCAAATCTATGCTTTTGAGAATTCAATTCTTAGGCGAGCACTTTGAGTTTGAAAAGAAGAAATCTGTGGGAAAATGTAGAAGCAAATCTTTAAGTTTAAGAACATTATCATTAACTTTCAAAACATATTCAATAAATTTTAGCATTTCAAGATATTTCTCTTTTTAAGCTCAGTTTCGAAACATCCTTGAGGATTTTCTTTAGATTCAAAAACATATATCATTCATTTTCAAAGCATATATACTTCAATCAATTTTGTCATTTTAAAACAAGATAAAGCTAACAAGATTGAAGGAAATATACCTTTAGAAGGTGGATTTTGCTAAGTAAGTACAAAGTCGGAAGAGTATAAACGTTTAAAGATGTATATAAAGAATATGAATGAAAGTACTAAGAATTTGGAGTTTAAGGATAGCTTAAAAGCTAATTGGAAGAATGTGATTTGCTTGCTCTCGCTTGGTTTCTCTTTTTTTTCTTCTTTTTCTTCATAAGATTTGATTCTTGATCAAATGATATTTTTCTTCACTCCTTTCTCTTCTAAAATGCGTTGGAGAAGTCTTTTTTATGGTTGGATGATTATTGGAGTTGTTGGAGGTGATTTAAAGAAGAAACTAGTCGTTTGCATTTTGAAATCTATGTCTAATAGATATCTAGAATCATGTTTTAGATTTTGAGAGTCAATCCTCTTGAGCTTCAGAACTTTCCTTTTTCAAATTTGTGCTTGTAAGAGCAAGTTTTTAAAGGGTAAGTCAATCCTTTTCTCAACTCTGTTTCTTCTAGGATTGAGTTTGACTTGTACAAGTGAATCTTCCAAGCTTTCTTTGCATTCTCATTGGTTTCTGCCCTATTGTCGATAATGAACCCGAGGCTTCTCTTCTTTCTTCCTTTTTTTGTGTATGTATGATCTAGTTTTAGTTGATCTTTTACATGCTTTCTTAACTCTGAGTCAAGCTTGGTGTTGTGAAGATTGTTCCTTCTTGAATATCTTAAGGTAAACTCCCATTTTGTGAGCCTATCTTGGAAATCAAACACTTTAATATCTCAAAAGTAAACGTTAGGGAGGTCATACAACTTATTCAAGTAAGTTAAACCCTCATACAACCAAATCAACTAAGCTTGTAAGCATTTCAAAAACAAGTGTATGAGAGTTCAATAACATCAAGAAATATCCAAGGATTACTCAAATAAGCTAAAGCAATTTTAATCATTTTTGTCATTTAAAATCTAATATTCATTTTAAAGCTCACAATCTCCCTCTTTTGGATATGACCAAAACTTTGAGCAAAATTTAGTTGTGAAAATACTCCCCTTAAATTTAATCATGAAATACTTTGATTTGAAATATTAAGCTTTTATAAAACTATGGAAGAGGATAAAATATTTGAAGGATTTGAAAACTCTCCCTTAATTGTTGCAAGGTTCAAAACTTGATTAGAGCTAGAAGATTAAATATTCTGTTTTAAAGATAAAAATTTTCTCAATATTTCTCCCTTTTTTTGTTATATCAAAAAGAAAGATAGAAGCACAATAAGCACAATTTACAAAACATAATAAGCACAATAAGGAATATACCATTTGTTAAAAAAAAAAATCAACAAGCACATTAATCACTATACCACCAATATTCAACACCAATGTCAATTATTAAAGATCAATATAAAGCTCGATATACCAATTGATAGATATAAGTAAAAGCT